TGATATTACTTTTTCTTGCTCTTCAAGCTTTGTTTGTTGGGTTTGGGATTTTTTTTTTTATCTCCCTGACAGGGTGAATTTCTAGATGAGGGCTAAGAAAAGCTTTACGCACCTGTCTAGATTTTACACATGTAACCTGGTTTTAGTAAGGTTTTAGTGAACTAAAATGAGGGGGTAAATGGTAGGAATAAGGTTGCTGCTCTCAGTATTTGGGACACTGTGCAATACGATGGAGCCAAATACTAAAGGAGATAAAGTTTTGCCGAAGAAAACAAAAAAAGAATGATGAGGTAAACTGACAATCACCCTTGAAACCTAGACCCAAGCACGTGAACCACCTTAGAACTTTTAGACAAATAAAGGATGTCTCTAATGGACTTTTTCCTCTTTAAGAATGGCTTCTCAGTCCAGAGTCCATGGAAAAATGGTTCTATTCCACATTCGAAAGCTGCCAACAGTTGACATCAGTCATCTCCCCATAGGGGTTCCTAAGAAGTATCAGCAGTTCTATGAATGCTTACTGGTGCTTTCAACCTCCTCTTACATGCTGTGTCCCAGGCCATGCCAGACGACTCACATGGGATGGGATAGCTTTGTAGGGAGTGCAGTTTTTCTCATGAGGCTCAGTTTCCTCCCTTCTCCCCTTTCATTTCCCTAAAGCCAAAGGAGGGGCTTAGAGATCGTCTCTGAAAACAAGTATGTGCAATGCAAGCAGGGAAAACCATGTTCTCTTTCAGCTGAGTACTTGAGCTGAAGAAGTCCTTCACAGGTCTGTGTAGCTTTTGGAGGGCCCAGAAGCATACTCTTGAGATTCCTTTGGCTTTTCCACATCAAAGCTGTGAAAGTGGAGGAGGAGGGGAGCCACAGTTTAGCCATACATAAGAAAGCAATGAATGGCTGTGAAATGGACTTTTTTCTTTAATTTTTTATTTTTAATAAGCAGGGGGAAGGTTGCTAATCTTAATCGAAAATGAAGAGAAAAAAGACTCAGAAGATGCCGAATGTGAAGTGTAAATTATTAGTGAAAAAGTTAGTTTGCCATGTTTTATCCACCAATAATAATATCCACTCACAATTATAAGCTAAAGATAGAAGTAAGCTGTCATTTTATTACGAGTCTTTAAAAAAAAAAAAATTCTGGACCTACAAGCAACTTGGTAGCAAGCAAAAGAACCCAAGTCACCATGTCAAGTGCTAGGAAAATGTGCAAATGAACTAAATTGCATCCATTCTAACCTGCACATTTTATCCCAGTGAAAGCACTGAAACCAGGATGGGTTTTACAGTCTCTGCTGGCCAGGCCACATGCGGTTTGGAAGAAAGTCCAAGAAACAGCAGTGGAGCCCTCTTAAGAAATGATATGTTGGCGACACTCTTGCTACCACAGAGGATACTAGGGTGCGGGCAAAGTTAGAGGTCAATTACTCTGAAGGGAAAAGTGATATAAAGGAGACACAAGTTCTAACAAGAGAAAGTTTTAGGACTACCTCACTAATTTTTCACTTATAATTTACTTTTTATGTATATGCCAAAACTACAAAAAAATCTAAAACAAAATTTCTTAATCAAAAAAGCTTGTGAATGATAAGGGTCATCGTCAACTCAGCACCATGCAATTTTTACTTCACGCCTGGTAGAAGTTAGGATGGTATTACTACATGACCTGCAATTGAAAGTGTCTTTGCTTTGGTGAAAACTGTAGTACACATTGACGAGTAAAGTAGACTATGTTTCAGAATCAGTATTACAAAGAATGGGAAAGACTTTTTTAAGGTTTTATATAACTCAATTCCAGTTACTTAGGGGAAACTGGGTGGCACAGTCGGTTAAACATCCAACTCTTGAGTTGAAGTACAACATGATCCCAGCGTGGTGGGATTGAGGCCCGTGTGGGGCTCTGTAATGAGCATGGAGCCTGCTTAAGACTGACTCTCTCTCTCTCTCTCTCTCTCTCTCTCTAAAATAAAAGAAAAAATAAATTCCAGTTAGTTAACATATGGTGTATTATTAGTTTCAGTTGTACAATATAGTGATTCAACACTCCCATAGATTACCCGGTGCTCATCATGACAAGTGTACTTTTTAATCCTCATCACCTATCACAATTACAAAGAATGGGAAAGATTCTTTTCAAACAGAAATGCACTTAAAATTGAAAAGAATGATGGCAGAATTCATTCATTAATGGAACAGTTACTGATTTGGTATCTTTCTGCCAGACATTGTTCCAGGATAAAAGCTTATGGCAATAAACAAAAATCTTTGCTATCAGCAAGCTTAATTTCATGTGATAGACATCATATAAAATAAGCAAATTATAGTGTTTGTTACTTTTAAGAACTAGAAATATAAAACAGATAGAAAGGATAGAAATATGGGAGGAGAGGTGTAATGTTCAGTCGAGTCATCAGGGAAGACCTGCAGGAGATGAGCCAGCTATATTTGATATTTGAGGGAAGGACATTGTAGGCAGAAAAATACAGCAAGTGTGAAGACTCAAGCAGGGACCCATGTAATGTATCTGAGGAGCACAGCAAGGAAGCTAGAGGGCTTCAAGAAGGATAAGAGAAATACAGAGGAGATGGAAATGAGGTCAAAGAAGTAAGGAGATTGGAGATCGGCAGATTTCCTAGATCAGTGCTGGTCAATGGAAAAAATAAGGTGAGGGGCACCTAGGTGGCTCAACCAGGTAAGCGTTCAACCTCAGCTCAGGTCATGGTCTCATGATTTGTGGTGTCGAGCCCCTACATCGGGCTCTCTGCTGCCAACACAGAGCCTGATTCAGATCCTGTCTCCTTCTCTTTTTCTGCCCCTTCCCTGCTTATGCTCTCTCTCTGTCTCTCTCAAAAATAAATCAATATTTTTTTAAACAAAAGGGAGTTGAGCTGCTTATGTAATTTAAATTGGTAGAGCTGATACATGTTGTTAAAATGAAGTAGGGGTAGGTTAAATGAATATATTTTACTTAATCCAATATACTAAACATACTATTTCAACCTATACATGATATAGAAAGCACTAATGAGATGTTTTCCCTTCTTTAAAAAGATGTTTTAAATACCTTTATTTTTTACAGCTATTGTGGGTTCTCAAGAAAGTTGAGTAGAAGGTACAGAGATAGATCACTTTTATATCTGGTGCATATTTTACATTTAAAGCACATCTCTGTTCCTCTTACATCATTTCAGGTGCTCAGTAGCCACAGGGGATGATATCTACTGTTTTGGCCAGTATAGATCTAGACTCTCATAGAACACTGCATTGAGTTTGGCTTTGCTGTGAATAAATTGGGAAGCAAAGAAGAGTTTTGACTGCAAGTCACTTAACATGACTTGGGTCTCCGTAAGATCCCATATTATGACTTGGGTCTTCAAAAGATGTGCCTTTTTGAGAAAAGACAGATGAAAGAATTGTCTCCTCACATGCCCCAGAACAGAATTTGAACAAGCTCCCAACACAGAGCAAAAATGAGTAGAGACAAGCATACATTCAATAAGTGGACCTGGTTTGAGAAATAGTGTAATAGGAGTTCTCTCAATAGCCTGTCTTTGCACAGGCTATAAATAGGACAGGCTGTGTCTTATTCCTACACACGGGAATCTCTTTTTCCTCTCAGGGACTGAGATCATCACGGCAAGGTATGCCACATATCTTTCTTTAATCCTAATGCCCAGTAGCCTTGCTGGAAGTTAGTAAGCCCTCAATAAATGTTTGTTAAATTGAAACAAAAAAAAAAAAATAGCTAAACGTCCCCAAATGGAAACTGTCCAACTGTCCACCAACAGAGATACATATTTAAACAGTTCAATACAGCCAGGAGAATAAACAAATTAAGCTATATGCCCCATGGTTGATTATTGTAAACATTATGTTGATTGAAAGAGACAAGACACAAAAGAGTATGTAGCATATCATTCCATATACTCAGTGTTCAATATAGACAACATAATCGAAGTTAACAAGGTAGTGGTTATACTTGAAAGTAATGCCTGCAAGGGACAAGAAGGCCCCCTGGGCTTCTATTGACATGCTATTTTTCTGGTTATTTGTATACTTTTTAAAAATATCTTGATCTATTCAGCAGTCGTATGTGTGCTTTCATATATATATATATATGAAATACTTCAATTAAAAGCTTATGTACAAGAGATATATGTCTCAGAAATTATTTGAGGTGCAGACCGTTTTGTTCAACTATGTTACTATTCAAAATGGAAGGATAAACTTATGGCAAATAAATGAGTAACTTATAGTATATATGTTTCTATAATTCAGAACTTCGACTAGCACAACATATGTTTAGTATTTTAACTCCGTTTTCTTTTTTCCTCAAAAAGGATGGTGAATCATAATTTGGAAAACATTTTCACATGCAATAACTTAGTGTTGTTTTATTCCCTTGTTTTTACTTTCACCCTGCAATTTGCCAGAAAGGTGTATGGTAAAAACATGCAACTTTCTATTATGTACTTATACAAGTTAGCGGTTCCCATCTGGGCAATTTTGCTCCCAGGGAATATTTCGTAGTGCCTTTTGACACTCTTGCTTGTCACAACAGGGAAGGGGGGGCGGGTGCCACATGCTAGTGGCATCTAGTGGCCAAAGGCCAGGGGTACTGCTAAGCCTCCTACCATGCAGAGAATGCCCCTCACAACTAAGAATTATTCAGCCCTCAATGTCAGTAGTGCTAAGGTTAAGAAACACTACTCTAATTTAATAACAGAATGTTGTTGGAATTTTAAAATTAGAATTTTTTCTTTACCAATTTTAATCTCTCATATTTAGAGATTTTGGAGAGATTAAAATTGCTGTGTTCAAAGTAAATGAATTTTTTTTAAAAAAGTATATTGCTAACATCTTTTAATTTGCTTATTTTCTTGAAAGTGTTACCATGGTTTTTGTTTGTTTGTTTGTTTGTTTCTGAGTTTTCTTTAAAAAAATAAAGAAAGAAAAGTTTGAGAAATATGTTGTTTATAACAGTTTTATTCTTATTTCTCCAGGCTAGAGGAACAAAAGAATATCCTGTCAGAATTTCAAAGAGATGTAAATGAATTTGTTTTATGGTTGGAAGAAGCAGACAACGTCGCTAATATTCCACTTGAACCTGGAAATGAGCGGCAGCTAAAACAAAAACTTGAACAAGTCAAGGTAATTTTGTTTTCCAAAAACCTCCAGGACTCACTTGCCTAAAGAGTACATGAGTCTGTTTTTTAATATATTTAGTCATTGATTTCCTGCCCATAAGGTTATTGATAGTTCATCAGTAAATTTTCTCAAAACTTTATTTTGTTTTAACCCCATGTTTCCCAATGAGTATATTTTTTTGTAAAAAAGAAAAGTGTGTGTGTGTGTGTGTGTGTGTGTGTGTGTGTGTGTAAATACACGGCAGTATTTTGCAAACTAATTTGAAATTAACTTTGGGTATATCTGAGAATTCTGCAACTCCAAATTCTTTCAAAAACTTTCCTATTTCTTAGGAAAGATCATAATTGCCAAATCAATCTCACCATTTCAGTCTCTAATTAGAGGTGTTCGATTAGCCTGAAACAATGTTTGTTTTGTCTGGGACTGGTTGGGAGCACATGGTGTGGGTTCACATTCTATACTGGTTGCATAGGCATCCAGCTTACTCAAGTGGCTTTTCATCCCTTCCTACTGTGCTGTCTGCTTATTACGGATTACCCCAGCTGGCTGACTGACATGCGCTGATTGTGCACTCCGATTAACTTCCATGGTTTTAGTTTTAGGAAAGAAACTTATTTGGATCTGTTTTACTCTAATTCTTGAAGGGAAGGTAAAAGGGAAAGGGAAATTAACATTTAATCATCCTCCATTATGTGCTAAGTATTAGATGTACTTACATCTGCTATTTTATTTAATCTTCATATAAAACTTTCAAAATGGTTGCTGTTATCCTCATTTTACAAGGTTATACAATCAAAAGGAAATGGAATTGCTCTTTTATCAATGATTCAGTTGGTTTGTACATGCAAATTAGACTCCAATGTCAACCACTTATTTCTATGAAACAAGAAATTTGTACCTGAACCGAGGATAAAGTATAAAAATAAAATTAATGCTAAATACGGTGAACAGATATTGAGTCCCTACTATCTCTCAGATATTGCACTACACATTTGAGAAAAAAAAAAAAGGAAACAAGTTTTGGATCTGTAGTTCACCTGAAGGTGTGTGTGTCATAGGAAAATGAACTCAGTCTTGTTCTTGAAAATTAATCGTTCCTAAATGTATTGAGTGTTATATATAGCAATATAATTGATAACTCATTTAAGAGACATGTTTAGTGGCATTTACTTATTAATAAATAGGCATTGATTTTCTTTTCTCCTTAGACAATCTAGATCAGGACTTTCTGTAATGATGGTAATGCTCTGTATTCTCCATTGCTGTAACCACAAACTGTATGTTCCTTTTGAGTACTTGAAAGGTAGTATGACTGAGGAACTAACTTTTTAATGTTATTGGAATTTAATTAATTTAAATTCAAATAGCCTCATGTAGGTAATGATACTATTTTGGACACTGTAGCTCTAGATGACACAAATAAAGGACTGTTGTTAAAAGCATGGCAGTTTTGTAAGTCTTGGGAAAGGGCATTTATAATGTGATACTGAATGAATAAAAGAAATTCAGAAATGTGGAGCAGCCAAAAATAAGGGTTCTTGAATGAAATTGCCCAAGTTTGAATCACAGCTCTGTTGCTTGCTACTTTTGTGTCCTTGGAATCGGTATTTTACCTCTCTGTTGGGATTTAACCTGTCTCAGTCTTCTTCTGTATAAGATGAAGATATTATCTCGGTTAATTTTTACATAATATACGAAGAGGTTAACACAGTGCCTGGTACCTGGTATGTCCTCAATGTTAGTTATCTCTCAATATGATAATGCAATTTCTTGATCAGTAGTAAATTATAGCGTGGAGGCTTAATACCTGAGAGAATGATGCACTCGCTCAGATGATTCTGTTTCGGAGAGAGATGTGTTAGTTTAGAGCTCATCCTACCATGTAACTCTTTCTTTTTCTTGAAAAGAATCTCTGACGGGTAAGCTATTCTGGTCCTTTCCAGGATAGACCTATCTGCTTGGGAGTGGGTGCTTCAGTCCATCAGTTCTGTCCTCTTTAGAAAGCAGTTGGTATTTGAGATACCAGTCGGCCTTCACTCAATTCGCTTCGTTTTGATAGACTAATCAATAGAGACAAAGACAAGAGAGTTGGAATTGTGCTGTAATTCATTTTAAATGTTGTTGCATTTGTCTGTTTCAGTTACTGGCAGAAGAGTTGCCCCTGCGCCAGGGAATTCTAAAACAATTAAATGAAACCGGAGGAACAGTGCTTGTAAGTGCTCCCATAAGCCCAGAAGAGCAAGATAAACTTGAAAATAAGCTCAAGCACACAAATCTTCAGTGGATAAAGGTCAGACGTTAACCATCTCCTCTGTCACATGTCTTAAATGTTGCAAGTGTTTGTATTTGTTTTGGTTCATGGGTGTTTTATTGCTGGGGCAATGGGGTGGGGGAGACTGATAGGTGGATTGTTGTTTCCTCAGCCTGACCATTTGGTTTGGCGATCTGATTCATTATGGTTAGAAAGAATGGTGATGGTGGATGACAATATATTAATGACCAAATGCCAAAATATATACCGTTGTTACTTTGCATGAGTTACTCTAAAGAATTAGACTGGAAAAGCGATGAAGCAATTCAGCATTCAGGTGCATATTGATGGTATTTAAGCAAAATGGAGGTGGTACACTTCAACGAAAATTATGAACCCAAATTACTTATCCTTATAGTATAGACTTAATCAGTGATGAATGCATGCTAGCCTTGTCCCGAAGGTGTTTTATGTATTTGTTTAATTGTTCGTTTAGTTATTTAGTTTTACTGAGTCACCTAACCTGTGAGTCTTTTTCTTTCTACCTTGGATATTTTACAAATCTACAATTTTTAAATATTTATCAAATTAATACATAAATATTCTTTAAAATCAGGAGCGCATATGAATTTATCACGAAAAACAATATCAGTCTATCAAAAGGCAGTTCTTTTCCCACTATATTGCTGTGGCAGCTTTGTCATAAATCACGTGAACATATGTATAAATCGGCTTCTGCATTCTCTTTTCTTTTCCATGTGACTGTGTCTGTCCTTCCACGAATACCATACTGGCTCAATAACAGTCATCAGCTTTACTGAGATGTAATTCATACGCCATAAAATACACCCATTTTAAAAAGTATAATTCAATAATTTCAGTGTATTTATTTTTTGTAATTGTGGTAAAATATATATTACATAAAATTGGTCATTTTCATGATTTTTAGGTGTGCAATTCAGTATCATTTGTTACATTCACAATGTGTCACCATTACCATCATCTATTTCCAAAGAGTTTTCATTACCCCAAACAAAAATTCTATAAACATTAGGTAGTAACTTTACATCCAAGCTACCTACCCACACAAAGTCATCTCTAATCTAGTTTCTATCTCTATGAATTTGCCGTTCTAGATAGTTTATAAAAGTAGACTGATCCTATATCTATCCCTTTGTGTGTAAATTATTTCACTTAGCATGTTTTCAGGGTTCATCCATGTTGTAGCAGGTATCATAATTTTATTCCTTATTACTTTTTAAAATTTCTTTTAACATTTGTTCATTTTTGAGAGATGGAGCATGAGCAGGGGAGGGGCAGAGAGAGGGAAACACAGAATCTGAAATAGTCTCCAGGCTCTGAGCTGCCAGCACAGAGCCCGAAACATGGCTAGAACTCACAGTCCCGTGAGGTCATGACCTGAGCTGAAGTCAGAAGCTTAACCAACTGAGCCACCTAGGCACCCCTCAGTTTTATTTTTTTAATATTTATTTATTTTTAGAGAGAGAGAGCACGAGCTGGAGAGGGGCAGAGAGAGAGAGAGAGAGAGAGAGAGAGGTCGGGGGAGAGAGAGAGGATCCCAAGTATGCTCTGCACTGCTAGCACAGAGCCCAATGCAGGGCTTGAACTAAGAGACTGTGGGATTGTGACCTGGGCCGAAATCAAGAGTTAGGCATTCAATGCACTGAGCCACCCGGGTGCCCCTATTTATAACTGAATATATTTCATGGTATGCATTTATGCAGTTGTTTTCTTTAAGATTTGAGGATCTGATCATCTAAACTCTCCATTTTTGTTCTTCTTAGTCGAATTATCCTTGCTATTTTTGGTTCATTGATTTACCAAGTATATTCAGAACCAGCTTATCATTTTTTACTAATGCTTGACAGGATAGTGATTGGAATTATGTTGAAATTGCAATTCCATTAACATTTTAACAACATGGAGTCATTTGATCTGTGAAAAGGATATATCCCTTCACTTATTTAGGTCTTCTTGAATGCTTTTTCTATTATACCTTGCTGTGTTCAGTCCAAAGGTCCTGCACATGTGTTATTAGACTTTGCCCCCAATATTTGACATTTTAATCCTATTATAAATGAAATTCATTTGGAATTTTATTTTCTCTTTGTTGTTGGTATATAAAAATATAATAGATTTTTGTATATTATGCACATATTCATTGTCCTTGCTAAATTCACTTATTAATATTAATAGTTTTCAGACTCTTGCATTTTTTATGTGCACAGTTGTGCCATCAAATAGAGGTAGTTTCCCTCTTTTCAATCCTTAGAATTTTATTTTATTTTTTGCATAGACTGGGGCCTCCACTACGTTTACTCAAAGTGGCAATAAAGGGAAACCTTGGCTCATTCCCTACCTCAGGTGGAAAGCTTTCAATAATTTAGCATTAAATAATGTATTTGTTGTAGGACATTTTATAGGTTCTTTTAATCAAATTAAAGAATTTCTTCTTATTCCCAACTCATGTTTTTATTATGAACAGATATTGAATATATCCAGATGATTTTTTTCTGTATGTATTGAGCATGTGCTTTTTCCTTTGGGTGAATGCAGCACACTACAACCATTGTTTCTGGAATGTGAGACTACTCTGAAATCCCGGAAACAAATCATCTTGGTCATGAGGTCTCGTACTACTTATAGATGGCTGGAGTCATTTTCTAATATGTCATTTGGGGTTTTTATATTATTCATGATAGAAAATGGTCTGTAGGTTTTTTAATAACATCTTTCTCAAGTGTGGATAGCAACGTTAGGCCAGTCATAAAAACAACTTGAGAAGTGCTCTCTCTTTTTTTATTTCTGGAAGAAATTGTTGAAGATTGGTATTATTTCTTTCTAAAGATGTTTCCGAGAATTCAATTGTAAAGCCATATGATGATGAAGTTTTGTTTTGTTTTGTTTTGTTTTGTGGGAAAGCTTTTGATGACTGGTTCAATTTCTTTAATAGATATAGGGACAGTTGGATTTTTTTTCATTTTTGTGTGTGTAATCTTTTGTAAGTTGTGTCTTTCAAGGAATTTGTCTATTTCCATGTCATTTTCTCTTTTTGGGGTTGTAGACTTTACTCATACAGCCAGTGGCCTTTTATATATTTATATGAATATATGAATCATATATTCATATGAATATATGGTATCATGATATGATGATATGATATCATGGGGTGATATGATCATGTTGAGTCTCACATATGGTATCATATATTCATATGAATATATGTATCCATATATTCATATAAATATATGTATCATATACTTATGTGAATATATATATTATATATGTATGTAAATATATGTATTACATATTTATATTATATTTGTTATACAAGTATATTTATATATTTGTGAAAAAGAATTAAAAAATAGACTCTTTTTACTCTGTGTGCTAAGGCAGAGAGCTGACCCTCTTGCTAAGATATTCAAGGTCTGTACTGCAGTGGGCTTTATTGTGTGGTACCCACAACCACTGCTGCGATTCATCCCAAATACCAAGTTTAATTTCTTTAGATAAGAATCACACACTCCTTACTTATCTTCATTCATATTTATTTTTGCTTGTAAGTAAATGTTAAGGGAAGACCATTCATTGTGTGGTAGTTTTGAGCTGGGGCAAATTTCCATCTACAGACTTTAGTACCCCAAGTTTAACCAACTTCTTAGCCCCAACCATCATAGTATCTTTCATCCAGTCACCAGATTCTGCCAGGTCAGATCCCCATGTATATAAGGCTACTTCTCCTTTACATGTCTTCATGTATGCCCTACTCATATATCCTTTTGACCTTCTAAAACTGTTTTAAAACCTCACATCCATTTTTGAGCACAGTTCTAGTGCTTTATTGAGCATATTTAGTACCTGTTAACTTTGTTCTATCCAGAATATAAAGCAAACTACAATCCTTTAAACCAGGGGCCAAGAAGATATGCTGCGCTATGATTTTCACACAATATAAAATGCCTTATTTCAAAAATGGCACAAGTGATTCTTAAGTATTAGGTATGGAAAAGCTATATAGAGAAAAGTTTACATAGATGATGGGAAAAGAAAAAATACTAGAGACTTCACTAGGCAGGGAGGGAGGTGTCCAACATGGTGGCATAGGAAGATCCTGAACTCACCTCCTCCCATGGACAGGGTGAATATACAGCTACATATGAAATAGTTCCAACTGAAAAACACCCAAAAGGTAGCTGAGCAGTTCCTCCATGACAAAGGATAAAAGTGCCACATCCTATCTAGGAGAGGCAGAGACACTGTCTCTTCAGAATCCTCAACCCTGGCATGGTGCCCCCTAATCAGGATGGATTTCACAAAACAGGAACTTCTACCTGAGCTCAGTTTGTTCTCAGCATTAAAGAGTCTCTCATGGTTTGCCTCTCTCCCCCTCCCCCACTATTTCCCCCCTTCTTCTCCCCCATGGTCCTCTGTTAAGTTCCTCCTAATCCTCCTATACATGCAAACATATGGTATCTGTCCTTCTCTGCCTGACTTATTTCACTCAGCATAACACCCTCAAGGTCCATCCATGTTGCTACACATGGCCAAATTTCATTCTTTCTCAGTGCCATATAGTATTCCATCATACAGATAAACCACATCTTCTGGATCCATTCGTCCGTTGATGGACACTTAGGCTCTTTCCATGTTTTGGCTATTGTTGAGAGTGCAGCTATGAACATTGGGGTACATGTGCTCCTATGCATCAGCATTCCTATGTCCCTTGAGTAAATTCCTAGCAGTGCTATTGCTGGGTCATAGGGGAGTTCTATTGTTAATTTTTTGAGAAACCTCCACACTGTTTTCCAGAGGGCCTGCACCAGTTTCCATTCCCACCAACGGTGGAGGAGGGTGCCCGTTTCTCCACATCCTCACCAGCATCTAGAGTTCTCTGATTTGCTCATTTTAGTCACTCTGACTGGCGTGAGGTGGTATCTCAGTGTGGTTTTCATTTGTATTTCCCTGATGAGGAGGGACTCTGAAACTATGAATGTGCTCTCATGTGTGCTTTCTCT